TTGATATAGAATCATTAATTACGTATACAAACCTTATAAAAAACGTATCATTTCCTTATTTTGATTTCTTATAGGGGCTCTTAAGGTATATATAAATACATTTTATGACTCACTAGAGATAATAGATCCCCTTTCTTCTTGCGTGAACTTGCTGGAGACGTTACATCGGCTGGATAGAAAAACATCAAACTTGTTGCAGATTTCATTAAAAGCGAGGATTTCCAAATAAAATATGGGAACACTAATTTCTTATATCTTGTTTGCCCAGAAGAGTGTTTCCAGGAATGCGATGAGCTATATGACTATGGTAATAAGATCCCAAAAGAAGAATATTGGTCTTGAATGGTGGAAATCTTTATGGGAAAAATAAAGAAACTTCGCAATGAAGTTAATGACTTTTTCAGAAAAGATAATAGATCTCCTTATCTCAAAATGATATATGAGGAAGTTTTATTTCCAGTAGTATTTACTGGAAAGAAAAATACTATGATATTTCATATGAAAGCAAGCTGAACTTTAATAAAAAGCTTTTCATTCGGGAAGTTGAGGTTGTAAAGCAGGGGCAGTCTAGTATTTTCTGAAAAACAAGGAAACATATTATGGAAGAGTCTATAAGAGTAAACAATATATGCATTTTGCATCAGATTGTGAAAGACATGCTCAAAGAGACTATAAATGATATCTTACAGAAAGATTTTAATGAAATAATTAAAACTGTTATGTGAAAGCCTGATAAAAATAACAAAAGTATACAGCGCTTCATTTTACAAATGCGAGATAAACACACCTGTGAAGAGGCAACTGCCAAACGGCTCATAAAAAAAGGACTAACATCCAAGTCTTATATTTATGAAATCTCAGAACCAGGCGAGCGATTTGAATATGTTATAGTTGAGAATGATTCATCAGAGAGGATGGGTGACAAAATGGAATACTCAGAAGTGGTAAGATATCTTGATAAGAAGATTAATGTTAACTATTATCTGAAAACTGTTGTTGGCCTCTATATACGATTTATAAACTATAATGATAGTTATCAGCTATAATCTGAAATTATGCTGGAAGCCTTAAAAAAGTTAAAAGATGGTAATAAAGCGGGTGATAATGAAGCGAATGAGAATAAAGCGGATGAAGATGACATGGATGAAGATAAAGTGGATGAAGATGAGGTATCGAAAATAAGAGATGTTCTAGCGCAAAAATCAGCTAAAAAGTGGGTTAGAGGCTATATCAAAAACCTTCATGAAAGTCCAAAAAAAGATGAAGCTATCATATCTCATCTATGGAAAGAAGCTAGTACTTACACGAAAATTTTATATGAAACTACTTATGCCAACAAGGTAGGAAAACACTTAGTTAACAATGTCTATTATAAATTTTATCTCAATATGCTAGATAAGCAAGAGGACTTCTTTCGCTTAAAGCTTTTATCAGTACTCAAAAAAATTTCTAAGATTAATATAAGATATAAAAAGAAATGTATAAATTAGTTTTTAAGAACGCCAAAGGGGAAACAAGCATAAATCAAAAGCTATGACTATAGAACAATATTTATTATATTATTCAGATAAGTGTAAATTACTAGCTAATTTATGAAACATATGGTACAAAGTAATTGGCCTAGAAATCACACGCTATTGAACATTATCGAAGTTATAGGATGACAAAAAAGATAATTTGTCTGAATTGAATATAGACAAAATTATCAAATTATATTGTTAAGTATTCTAGTAAGAATGTGGCAATTTTAGCTAAGAAAACTTATAATATTATTTATATATTTTTTCTCATGCAATAATACCAGCTAACTTCAATTTCTATATTCAATCTTCTGACATCTAATTGTATAACCTGACCTCAGAAATGTCCGGAGATGATAAAAATAGTTCCAGTTAGAAGAATACTCAGTATTACTTTTTTTTTAGCTTAGTGCTTCACGAATTCCATATTTTTTTTCCCACTATGAACTATATAATTGCAATCAAAAATAAGATAAATATGGAATATGCTAATATCAACGATATTAAGGAATTTGCAACAACAGGGATAGCTGATACTAAAGGCATTACTTGGCTTGATGACATTACTTTTATGCCACCTAATTGCTTTGCAACCCCTTCTCTTAAAATAAACTTTTTGGAATGTGCTAGTTGACTATGAACAGATTGATTAGATAGGGTATTTGCTTGATTAATGGTCTCTTTTGTGATCCCGCTTCTCGAAACTATCTCATTTTAGGGTAATAACTCTTGCAAAGCTGCAAAGCTTCTAATATATTTTCTCTTGCAAAATTTTTATCAAGTTCCATAACTTTATTTTCAAGACCACGCTCATAGACGAAGGATCTTAAATCGTCACTGACTCAACCTAGTAGCTTTTGTGATGAATCGTTCATAAGCAGAGGTAAAGAATCAGAAAGATCTATTATTTCATTATATGAAGCACCTCTTAGGTCTTTTTTTAAGATTATCTCTCGAAGATGAGAATTTTCCTCCATTAAATTTGATCGAGCTGAAGATAAGGAGTCTAACGCCTGTTTATACATGCTATCTAATGACTCTTTCCCTTTTTTTCATACATTCTATTTCATAATTTATTGAATTTAGACCTTCCTTTACCTGTTCTAATTCAAGCCTAAGAGAATCAATGTCATATGAGTCTATTTGGGCTGGCTCCTCTAGTAGTCCTCCCACTATATGCAAATCTCATTCTAGTTCCAGATCTAGCAACTTACCTTCCAATTCAACTACCTTATCTTTAAGAGAAAGTATCTTGATCTTGTCAACTGACGAAGCTTTCTGCGTCAAAGTTACCTCTCTCTTTAGTGTTTTAATATTGGATTTGAGCGATTTAATTTCAGCAGAATATTTGGCTTCAAGCTTAGTACAGGACATCTGTTCATAAGTAATATAAGATGTAAGCTTAGTATTTGCATCATTTAGCTGACTAACCTTATTTCTAATATCAGCATAGAATTGCTGAAACTCCTTTTCTCATCCTGAATATTCCAAATTTTCAGTCTACAACTTTTCGTTGAAGTCAATAATTTCAGAGTTAAAATTAATAGTGGATCTTAATTTTTTTTCGAGCACTTACTCATATGTACTATCAAACTGATGTCCTCTATCTTTTATCTTTTAGTGTACGCACATTAGACATAATATTAGTATAGTTACATAGTAGAAAAAAAAATATACAAATAAAATTCTAAAATAATGCATTCATCCTATATATTTAGAATGATATATTCTTCCTATATGTCCTGTTCATCCTATATATTCAGAATGATACATTTTTCTTGTATATATTATTTAATAAATTATTTCAGAATATTATATTAGATATAAAAAAATATTGTTATCCCTTCTTTTTCACCAACTGATTACAATTTTATTATGCAATGTGCTGAAAAAAAGCCTAGAGATAAAGTTTTAAAGGATTTAACAGATAAATATCGTATATCACAAAAATGTATTTATCAGATTTGAAGAGGTAAAGAAAAAAATAGGGTTATGTGAAATCAACCAATTTATATGCTAACAGCTTCGCTTTCTAATATAAATGTTGTGGGCGGGTGGACTGAGTCAGAGATCCAAGAACAAGATATTTCTCCATTTGCAAAATTGGAAAAATAAATACGTGATGGTAAGATAGAGTCTAGCAAATCCATTAATTCAGTTTTGGAAGAAGGTGGGAAGGCAAAAAAGTCTGAAGAAAAGAAATCGAAGTCTGTTCAGATTTCTAAACCATCTAGTATTTAGACTCAGCCAATCCAGATTTCAAAGAAGAATACAAATAATGTAAATTTGAATGCATCTTATGAAAATATAGTCAAAAAAAATATAAAAATTATAGATGTAAAAAAGAAGCATTATCCTGAAAATAACTTGCCTATTCCCTAAGAAGACTTTTGCAAAACTCATTGATTTTCACATTGAACTTGAGAGCATTGAAAAGCTTTTTCTAAAGTTTTTTTATATGAATTACCATATCCTCATAGTTTATGCGTTTTTTTTAATATTCCATTCTCATTTAAGTCTTGCAAGTCTTGCGAAATTCTATTTGGAGTCGAGGAATCATTACACTCAGGAGTAATATTCGCACAATTTACCTCAAACTTATTCTTGACTTTATGCATATTGATTGGAATAATAAATTCTTTACCATTACACTCTAGTCTCAATTTCCATTTTGATGCAAGCAAATCATAATTATATTTATCGAGAAATGTATTAGGTAAGATCAGCATCGGTTTAGGATACTTAACTACAGCAAAATCAGTATATATAGTATATCCAGATGCGAAATTTACTGGGACATTTCTAACAATTCTGAGGGATTCTGTAAGAGTAATAGCAATGCCTCTAAAATCATGTTTTTCTTTTATATCAATTTCTAGCTTTGATCGTTTAGAGATATGATCGGAAAATTAGCATCAGGTTTAACCACAGCATCTAGGATTACTAAGCATTTGATTTTACATTTTACCATTGTAACATCTGTGGCAGATTCTTTTCTTTAGACAAAGTTTATCTCCATAGAACTATCAATAAACTCATCATCCTTAGAATCAGCCAGTGTTTTAGAATCACCATTTTGCGGTAATGAAGGAGTGTAATAGTGTCAAACTTTTTATTAAGCACCTTCTCAATAATTATTTTAATAATTTTTTTTAAGCGGGATTATTCATTCTGTGTCGAGATCTTTGAACTATGCTTTTCCTTCTTGGAAATATGAACTAATGCTTAAGGAGGTATTTCTGTATCTTTTACCTTACGAGACTTACAAGTCTTTAATTTCTTCTTCTGTGAAAAGCTAATAGTATTATGCTCTTTCTTTACTTTTTTTTTATCTGAGATATATTAATATTAATTTCAGCATTAGCATCAGCCTCAGACTCTGATTCAGAAGAAGAACTCTTAGAGCTAGAAGAGCTATTCTCAGACTCTGATGAAGAAGTATCATTATTAGAAGAATCTGAATCTGATTGTTTGTCTATTCTAGCTAAATGGACTCAGTCACTTTTAGATTTTTTCTTCTTAAACTTATTTTTCAATTTCTTCTAAAGATAAAAAGATTTTATCAATAGGTCTACTAAACCCTATATGGTAAACATCCATTTGATTTTCTGGAGAAAGTCCCCTAAGAAATCTACAGCGAGATTCATCATCTCCCATATTAGCATGTCTTGCAATCTTCTTAAGTTTGGTATAATAAGAACCCACAAAATCGTTTTCTTGCACTGTTATACCAAATAATGCTTATTGATACTGTTGTCTAAATGTGTGATAGTTTCCTTTAAAGTAATCAATTAATTGCTCAAGGGTGATGTCAGCTAATACAACTGTTTTATTTTGCCAAATTTGCATTTAGTGCATACACAACTTTAGATATTGGCTTACCTTCTGCTGGTGTCTAATTTTCATTGAAAATTGTATGCCTAGGAATCACTAAAGTGCTGGCATCAGCATCAGCCGCTACAAGTTGTGCATTAAATCCAGCTAATGCTGTAGGTGATAAATGTCTTATGATTAGTCCTTGTCTATCATCTTATAATTATACCAAAGTACGATTTACAGTAGAAATAATATTAGATAATTCCTAATTTTTACCTGCTATCTCTTTTTCAAGCTATTCACCCACTTTACCTTTTAAGTATGATTTAAAAAAGCCTAGTGCAGTGATCCTATCTGCATTATTTGCTAAATTGTTTCCAGAAGCAATTAAATACCTTCTAAATTCATTAATAAAATAGTTGATATCTTCATCGTAATTTCCAGTAAAACTTGGTGGTATATATCCTGCTATACCTATACGTTGTATATTAGGTGGGTTATTTTGTAATGCCAAAATTTGTTGTTGCAAATTTAAAATATTCTGATCTCTTTGCCTAATTACTAGCTGAAAAACAAACTTTTCACGCAGTAATTCACCAATGTGGATTTGTTTTCTTGCTATAATAACATCATCCTATTTACCTGGTTTTGAGCATTGGTTTGAAATTGTCAGGCATTTTGCTGAAGGTGGTTGATATTTCACTGATACA